TCAGCTTAGAGGGAACACTGGTCCCCGCACTTCAAAACAGTAGCGGGGTTACTTGAAAGCTTATTCAACGAGCTTTAGTTCAAGTGCCTCCACCACCATTTTGAAGTGCAGGGATTCTGATACGTGAGATGTGGGAGGCTGCTGGAGCATGGTAATTACAAGATTAATCAAGTCTGCTCCAACACATTGTAATTACAGCACATTGGAGCAACCTCCACGCTCGTGTACGGGCACCCTAAGGCACTGAATGCCTTTCAAGGTCAACACCCAGTGAAGCCAAGGGTGTCAGTATAGCAGAGAGTAATTTAACACTTTGCAGGACTGTAAAGTTTGCCAGAAGAAAACTGGGATTAAAACATTTTTGTTATTATTGTTATCAAGTAGGTTCAAAGGAATTACAAAGAGAGTTAAACCCACGGTAAAAACTCACTAAAAGGTGTTGCCAGTGTCCCTGAAAACTCTAAAATGATGAGAGTTAATGACTGAATAATAAAGAACAACAATAAACTTTGCATTTCCATCTGAGAACCTCAAAGAGCTTTAAAGAACATGAATGAAGAAAGCCTCCTTACAGCACTGTGACATGAGTCCCATCTCCATTTTATAGCTAGTAACACCAACATACTAGATTAAGTGACTTGCCCAAAACCATCCAAAAAATTTGAGGCAGAGCCAAAAACATAAGTCAGGTCTCCTCTACCAGACCCTCATACCTACATGAAAATACTCCTTGAACTGCATAATTCAGTTAATTAACCAATTTAAACATGTTTACTAATGATCTTTGTGTGCCCTCCAAATGACTATTACGTACGAATCTAAACCATTTCAGTGTTGCATGATAGATAGATAGATAGATAGATATGGGGTGCGGTGGGTCGAATGTCTCTATAGAGCAGTCTATAGTCCAAAGAATATCCATGACTGAGTGGCGGCCTTCTACAGCCCACAGTAAAATACAGCAACAAGCCGAATAGAAATGCTTCTCACTCAGCCCCTAACAGTGGGTTAACTGCAGCATATGCCTGAGTTTACGGACACTCAGAACATACTATTTTGCTACTCAGAGCTGGGGGTAACAGGTCAGCAACAGTCACTCACATTTTTATCATCAGACTGAAGCAAAAAAAATACATAAATATGGAAGAAAAATTACAATGAAGCACATTATTTATGAACCCTGTACAACCTTTTATCGCGTTCGAGAAAGACCATGAGATGAGTGTCCTGCGACTATCATGAGCACGGATCTAGCTTGTACGGTTCCCATTATTGCTACAGTTCATCACATAGTATGTAATAACCTTTCTGCATATTAAAGCAATTATTTTAATGCCTAACTCTTATGTAGTGCTTTATATCAGTGGATCTCAGAGGTCTTACTAAGGATGTTAGTATCATTATCTCCATTTTGCATACAGGGAAACTGAACCATAGAGCAGGAAACGACTTACTCAAGGTCAAACAGTAAGTCAGTGATAAAGTTGGGAATAGAAACTCATGTCACTCATATCTTGATTTCTAGTCCCAGTCCACTGCTTTATCTGCTTGAACACGCAACCTCTAAAACCTAACAGCTATAATACCATAAGGTAAAATCCTGTTTGCATAGAAATCAATGGCACTATTCCCACTGACTTCAATGAGGCACTGCCCTGCCTGGCTCCTACGGCTGGGTAAGGCAGTGCAAACAAGCACCATTGTGCTTTCCCATGCTTCCTGTGGGCAAAACTCCCCACAGATATCCACAAAGCCACTTCAGTGTTTTCCTTCCAATACCTCCTTAAAGCTCTCCTTTCCTGAAATATCTACAGAAAAGCTTGATGACAACTAAGCTGCTGCTTTGCTGAGACCACTGTCTGCCATGCCGAGTAACAGTTTCATTCATTCTTTCTGCAAGAACTTCAAAATGGTTGGACTGTCTGTTGTCTCTAGTCTTATACTTAGATGGTAAACAGAGAGCAAGGATTTCTGTTCTGTGTTATACAGTGCTGTGGGCCTTGGGCCCAAAACTGGGGTTCCTAAAGCATTACTGGAATACTACTACTACTACTACTATACAGATGATGATGATACAATACCTACAAGCTATAATGAAGGAAGTATTCAGCTCTAGCCTCAGAAACTTGTTATGAACAGTAATAAAAAATTCCTTCCATATTTGTTCTCCTCTTCTTTCTCCTGGTTCCTCCTATTATATTTTAACAAATAATATTGTTGTTAACAAATATGTCTTAAAAAAAGTTCAAGGAGTAACTATAGTTTTTATTATAGTCTACCATACATGGTGAACTCCCAAGGAAATATTAAAATATATTTTTCTCTTCATAGGTGTAATATGTGACTTCCTAACAAACGCATATCTTTTATGTCCACACAGGCAAAAAAATATAGGTCAACCCCATCCATGGTTACATGCACTTATTTTTGTATCATAGCAGGGTTTTGGGTCAGATCTAAGGTTCTTGTATTGCATAATTATTCCTAATGGAGGTTAGTAATGCAGTTTATGTTTGTTATGGAGCTGGCAAAGATCGGGTGTTCCTAACTATCCAATTTTCATGCTGTTGAGTGCTTATGTTATGCACCAGGTAAATACTATACCTAGATGGCAGTCTTTGGATCCTTACTATAGGAAGCGGGCTTAAAAGGAATTATATTCTTTGCTTTCTCACCTGACCAGGTATATACAGCTACTATGTGCAAATAAACAGCTACTGACTTCCCATCACAATGTCGAAACATTTCAGCGTGGCTGTCAACAGCACCTGATCCTGCAACCCTCTCTAATGAGAATAGCCCTTATAGGAATGGTCCCACTGAGTGAAGTAGGATTCATCCGCTGTAATGACTGGGTGAAATTACCTCTGGGTACAGGGCCAGAACAATTCCTGTATCCCACTTAAATCCCACTTCAATTCTTAGTAATGCTTATGTTACACTAAGCGCCTTATGCTCATTTTCAAGGACTGGGAACACGAACAATAATCACAAAGTAACTGGCTGATAAACAACGCTCATCTGTTCTCCTTGACATCTGTAACTGCTAATATGTACTCATGCCACCTGTGATTTTTTTTATTTTTGCTTTCCCAGGATGCCTGGTAGTAAACAAGAGCTCTGCCTGAGCTATTTAACATGCAATCAGGGGTGGATATGCAAATATGCTTCATTAGTCTTT